GTCGCCACGGCCGGGCGTAGCACGAGGAGCTGGCCGGGAGGGGGACCCCAGGAGGGGCCCCAGGGGCGGGCTTTGAGCGGGCGTGGAGGTGTGGGCAAACATGTTGATGCCGATGCCCCTCCCCCGCTCTCGCCTTTCCCTGGCCTCCCGGGGAGGCCTCGTCGCCACAGGTCCGGGCTCGCCCCGGACGCCTGAGCAGGGCGCGCCCAGGGAGATTCGGGAGGAGAAAAACACACAGACACAATTCATCGTCGATCCCCTAGAAAATATGGGAAAACATGGGAAGTGGGGGGAAGACAAAAACCCAGAAAATATAGGAACATATGGGAAATCCTGTTATTTGTGTGTGTCTATTTGTGTGTCCCAGAGCCCCTTCAGAGATGCCCCGGGAGCAGCGATGTTTCGGCATGAGGTTCCGGCATGAGGCTTCGGCACGGGGAGCAGGCAAGACCCCCCCCCGCCTTTTCGAGCAGCGCTGGGCCGAAAAGGCGTGCAAGCGCGAGTGCCGACAGGCGTGAAGTCCAGAGTTCTTTTTGGGCCTCGCCCCTCCCCTCCCCTCCCCTCGCGCCTCTTTAGTGGATGCGAGGAGGCGGGGGCATCTCTGTGAATCCGTTTTTTTTTTTTTCCTTTCCCACCCAGTCGCAGGCAGTAAAACCGTCTTGGGCACACCGCATGGTCCCAGAGCCCCTGACTTTTCCATGCGCGCGGACATGCCGGAGTCTATAGGAAAACCGGCCTCCCTGCCCCCCCCCCGAATCGGGGGTGGACAGACCTCCTACCCTGACACGTCGATTAAGGAATTGGCCGTTTTCGGTTCGCGAGGGGGCGTCGCGGCCGTCATTTTTGCGGGTCCGGGTCCGTCGGTTTCGGTCCCAGGCCGTTTTCCAAAGGGAGGTTTGTCCACTGCCGACCGAAAAAGAGAGAGGCGCGCGGCGAAGACAAGACGACTCGGCATGAAGAAGCGGCCCCCAGGAAGGGTTCAGGTCCAGATTTCTGGGGACCTCCTCCTCATCGTCCTCCTCCTTCTCCTCCTCCTCCTCCTCCTCCTCGCCAGGCCCCGCGCGGAGCTGAAGAGCAACCGCATGCGCGCCTGGCGGAGCGACTCCGACGGCAGCCCGCAGGCGCCGGGCCGCCGGGTGTCGCTGGTGGACGCCCGCGGGCGCGCCGCGGCCGAGGAGCCCACGGCCGAGCGCGCGCGCCGGGTGCGGCGCGAGATGCAGGCGCAGCTGGACGCGGAGATCGGGGCCGCGCGCCAGGACAGGGGGCCACGTGCGAGCCCTGTCCTCCTCCTCCTCCTCCTCCTCCTCCTCCTCCTCCTCCTCCTCCTCCTCCTCCTCCTCCTCCTCCCTCCTTAGGGGGCCACATGCGAACCCTACCCCTAGCCCCCATGATCTCTGAGGGGGAGGGTGGGGTTCACTTCATGCGGGAGCTCCCGAGCGGAGTGAACCCCGCCCTGCCCCTCGGAAGTCGTGGGGGGGGGGGGGGTAGGGGCAGGGTTCGCGCACGCGGCCCCGCGCCAGGACCGCAGGGCGCTGGGCGCGGCGGCGGAGCCGAAGAAGCGCCGTCGGCCGCCGGCGGCCCCGGGTGCCGAGGAGGTCGTGGCGCAGGCCCCCGTCGCGGACGAGGAGCGCAGGGCGCGAGGTGCCCAGAGTTTTGAGTGATGCAGATGTTTCTTTTTTCTTGCCGGGCGTTTTTTCTCGTCTGGGTTTTCGGGCTTCCGTGGGCCGTCGCAGATCGATCGGGCCTGACACATGCAGCAAGGAGGCTGGGTCTGGGGCCCAGGTCATGATTTCGCACGATGGTGCCACTTTTTCGGGACGTCGGGTCTCAGAGTGCACCGATCCTGGCTGGGCCGATCCTGGGCCCAGGCTCGGTGTACCCCGGTCCAGGGTCCAGAGCCCTCCCCCCCAGATAGGATGGGTCCCAGGGTTCACAGGCCCTCTCCCTTGATTCATGGAATGGGACAACGACGACGACGGCGACGACGGCGACGACGACGACGACGATGACGACGATGCCGACGACGACGACGACGACGACGACGACGACGACGCCGACGCCGCCGCCGACGACGACGACGACGACGACGACGACGACGACGACGACGACGACGACGCCGACGACGCCGCCGACGACGACGCCGACGACGACGACGACGACGACGACGATGACGACGCGCTTACAGGGTCACGGCCACGGGGGGGACTCATCGCGCGGGATAGGGCGGCGATCCCATTAGCATTGGAGGGGGGCCCAGAGCCCCTGATACTACATGCCCTTGTTGTCCAGGCACGGAAGGCGCACACACAGTGGCCAGGATCTGTGTAGGCGTAGAGTTCCCGAGCCTCCGATGTGTCGAGTTCTGCCGATGCGGAGTCTCTGGAAGTCCTGATCCTTCCCCCATGGGCCGGCGAAGGCCCCAGAGGCCGAAAACGGCCAAACCTCGCTCCGCCGCGCCTCTCTCGCGACGCGAGCACGTCGGGGGGCCAGCGCCCTCCCCGAGGAGTGGAGGGAGGCCGCCGCGGGCGACGCGCCGCCGGCGCGCGAGCGCGACCGGCGCCGCCGGCGCGCCGCCGAGGAGGCCGCGGCCGCGGCGGCGCCCCCGGCGGCGCAGCAGGAGGCGCCGGAGGGAACAAACACACACAGACACAATTAATCGTCGATTCCCCAGAAGATATGGAAAAATATGGGCAGTGGGGGGGAAGACAGAAGCCCAGAAGATATGGGAAAATACGGGCAGTCCTTTTCTTTGTGTGTATCTATTTGTGTGTCCTAGGGCCCCTTCCGAGGCGCCGGAGCGGGACCGGCGGCGGCGCAGGGAGGCGGCAGAGGCGGCCGCGGCCGCGGCAGGCGCGGGGCCGGCGGGTGCCGTGGCGCAGGCCACGCCGAAGGGGGCCACGCGCAGGCCCCCGGCGCCGCCGCCCGCGCCGCCGGTGGGCGGGGCAGAGGTGGGCGGCTGTGTGTGCGCGAGGGGGTGGCCTCTCTGGCGCGGGAGAGAGGGGCCTCTGCTGCGGGCACCGCCGGGGCTCCCATGGATCGGGGGTGGACAGAACCCCCAACAGTGACACGTCGATCAGTGAATTGCCTGTTTTCGGTTCTCGAGAGGGCGCCGTGGCCGTTATTTTCCAGGCTTGCGCCCGCCAGGTTTGGGCCTCAGGTCGTTTTCACTAGACCACGTTTTACTAAAGGGGGGTCTGTCCATCCCCGAATGGAGGGCCGAGTGCTGTGCTGGAGCCGGGCGTGCCTCTTTCTACCGGGGGGGATTGGTGCAAGAATGGGCACAAAAGAAGGTCAGGGGACGATGTTTCGAAAATGTTGACTATTTTTGGGCATTGTTTTCAGTTTTGGTTTCTTCCCCTGAAATTAAGTCGGGCCTGTCCCCCTACAGGGGGATTTTCGACGAACAATAAAAAATACCCCCAAAATATCCCAAAAAAGTCAAAAGATATTCAAAAAATAGTTCCCAGACCATTCTAGGACTATTTTTCAAAATTGTTTTTGGGGTATCTTTTATTCTTCGTCGAATTTCCCCCTGTAGGGGGACCGTCCCGACTTGACCCCGAAACCCGCCTGTAGGGGGACATGCCCGACCTCCTGCTACAGTCGGGGCCCTGAAGAAGGAACCCTTTTCGTTGGGGAGGGGCTCCGCGTTCCTTCAGTGTTTCGCAGCTTGCCTCAGGCTTTCCTTACGTTTTCGATCGGAAATCGAAGTTCCACTCATGGAAAAAAGGGGCCTCGTTCCTTATTTGGGGTTCCTTAGGTCAAGCCCCCGACTGTATGCGCCATAGGACGGCCGTGCGCGCTCCAGCGCGGCCTCCGCCCCCGGCCCCCCCGACGGTGGCGCACCGGAGGCTGCTCTCGCCCGGGGGTCCCCTCCCGCGTGTTCGATGCTCGTTTCGGGGACCTTCTTGGAGCCCACCTAACGGATCTGTTCGACCCCAGTTCGACTCAAGTTCGACTCAAGTTCGACTCAGGTTCGACTCAGGGTCGACCCAAATCGACTGACGTTCGACGCAGCTTCGACGCACGAGTGGAGCGAGTGGCCCCAGGAAGGTCCCCAGAACGAGCATCCAACGCGTGTAAGCACAGCCGAAGAGGAGGCGCCGCCCGCCAGGGACCGCCGGCGCAGGAGGGCGGCGGAGGAGGCTCGGGGGAGGGTTCAGGGGCGGGCACCCCCAGACATGGGGCGCCTCGAAGAAATCGAGGCCGAGGTTCTTCGTAAGTTTTGGCATCTCGGGGCCCTCGCCGGGCCTCGGGGCCGTCAGAAAACGACTCGGGATGGAAAGCCGGTCCCGGGGAAAGGGTCGGGAGGTCGGGGGCCCGTGTCTCGAAAAAATCGAGACGTCGGATGTCTGGGCCGCTGCCCCTGCCTCGGCCTCGCCTGTTTCTCCCAGCCATCCTGTGGTGTTGGGTCCTCGTCTTGAAGAGACGGTCCCCGCGCTCCTCCCTCCCTCCTCCCTCCTTCCTCCTCCCCCTCCTCCTGCCTCCCTGCGCTTCACCCACCCAGTATACAGCGTGTCGTGGCTCCATAAAGGGGGACCGTCCGCATGCGCCCTGGAAGCCCAGTTTGGCATGTTCACCCACCCGGGGAAGGGGCGGGCGCCGCTGCCCCTGCCTCGGTCTCGCCTGTCTTTTTGGGCCCCATGGGACGGCCTCGCTGCTACGGCTGGACTCGCCTCGAGATTTCTGGTCCGGGCGCACCCCTGCACAGAGAGGTTCGGGGAGTGACGGCACTGGCAAGGTTTCTGTTGTTCCCATCCTGCCTGCTTCAGGACCACATCCCAGAAACAGTTTCGAGCACCCCGAAAAAGATCGAAACAGTGTCTGCCCGACACGCCAGCGAAGGGCCCGACACGAGAAAGCCCTCCGATCTGGGGTACTTCCCTGGTGCTCGAAACATTATTTCGCGTGATCAGGGCGAGAGTAGGAGTATCATCAGGTAAGGTCTGCTTTCCCCAAAGGCCGCGGCGGCGGGGGCTGCGCCGGCCAGGGCAGCGCCCGCGGCGCCTGCCGCCGCGGCAGCGCCCCCGCTGGCGCCAGCGGAGGCTGCCGCTGCCGCGGCGGCCAAGAGGGAGAGGAAGCGGAAGCGGAGGGCGGAGCAAGGCTCTCTTTTTCCTGCTTCTCCTCCTCTTCTTCCTCCTCCCATTCCTCCTCGTCCTCCTCCTCCTCCTGCTTCTCCTCCCACTCCTTCCTTTCTTCTCCTTTTTCTCCTCCTCCTTCCTTTCTTCTTCTCCTTCTCCTCCTCCTCCTCCTCCTCCTCCTCCTCCTCCTCCTCCTCCTCCTCTCCTCCTCCTCAAGATGTCGCGCCGCCGGCGGCCGCTCTGGAGGCGCCTGCGGTCGCAGAAGCGCCAGGGCCGGCAGTTCTCGCCCCAGCGAAGACGGCCAAGGAGAAGAAGCGGAAAGAGGCGAAGGCGGCCAAAGAGCTGGTGGTGCCAGAGGAGAAGGTTGAGCTTCCGGCCAAGGCCGCAAAAGTGCCGAAGGCGCCAAAGGTGTTGCGTGAGGACTCCGGCAGCGATGCGTCTGGAAGTTCGGAGGACGCGAAGCCGCAGAGGAAGAAGGGCAAGGAGAAGCGATCGGACGTGAAGATTGACTCCTCGGACCTCGAGACGCCCGAGGAGAAGGCGGCAAAAGAGAAGGCGAGGAGGAAAAAGGCCGCCAAGGAGGAGCAGGAAAAGAAGAAGCGAAAGAAGGAGAAGGAGAAGGAGAAGAAGAAACGCGAGAAGGAGCGCGCCCGCGAGAAGCTGAAGGGCGGCCTGCACGCCGGCCTCCCCTACATGCCGTCGGGGCTCATGCCGGGAATGCCCGGCCCGCAGATGGGCATGCCCCCGGGCATGTTCCCGCAGATGGGCATGCCTCCGGGCATGAGCTATGCGGCTGCGGTGCACATGTTCGGGCCTGCCATCGCGGCGCGCATGATGGCCATGCAGCGCCCAGGCATGCCGGGCATGATGCTGGGGCAGGGCATGGGCCCCATGATGGTAGCGCCGGGCGTGGGCCACGCGGGCAGCGGGCCCGCGGGAGGACCGGGCTGGGGCCGCGCTGGCCCGCTGCCAGGAGCGCTGGGAGCGCGGCCGAGGCTGAGCGCGAAGGACAGTGGGCCCGTCGCCAAGGACGCCGCGGCGGTGGCGAAGGCGCGCTCCTCGTCCTCCTCTCGGGGAGCAAAAGCATGGCATGAACACACACGTTCGGAGCTCCGTGCGGATCTCTTGGATCGGCGCCGGGGCCTCCCTGGCGGCGCCTTCGGCGCCGCCCCCCGCGCGCTCCGCGTGCCAAGGAGCGGAGCCCCGCGCTGATCGAAGACATCAGCACGGACCTCCGAGAGTTTCTATGCTGACAGTCGGCCTTGAGCTGCAGGTCGACCCTGTCACGTCAAGGGTACCCTCGTGTCCTGTCTCCAGAGACCCGTGCCTGTTGCGTTCCTGTGGCAGTGTAGCCCTCGGAAGGGTCTTGTGTCCTCTCGCGTGTCCTCTCCATTCGAGCCCGACTAAGGCTAGGGGTATGCGGATATCATGGCCGGCGTCATGACATCCCCTTGATCTCATGGACCCCTCTTCCTGCGTCCGTGCGTTTCCTGGCCCCACCCCTCGTTCGCGCATCTGCCTCGGCCCACGGTGCGCACCCCCCCCTGATCCTGGCGGCCCTTACCGGCGCGGCCGATGCCTGGGAGGCGGCGAGGGAGGCGTGCCCTCTCCAGTCGGGCCCGACTGCATGCCATCCCTTTGTTCCCCGACCCTCGTCCTCCTCTTCGTCCTCGTCCTCGGCGCGCGAGCCGGAGCCCGGCGAGCCCGAGCCCGGCGAGCCGCAGCCCGGCGCGCCGCAGCCGGCGGCTGTGGCCGGCGCGCCGTCGCCCGCGGCCGCGGGGGAGCCGCCCGCCCCCGCCGCGGCGGCCGCGGGCGAGCAGGACGCCGAGGGCGTCCAGGTGGCTCGGATGCTGCGGTCGCCGTCGCCGGAGCAGGAGCTCCAGAGGGGGAGAAGATACATACGTGTGTACATGTAGGCACACATGGATGTATGCATGAATGCATGCGTGTATGTATGTGTATGTGTGTGCATGCATGTGTGTGTGCAGGTATGTATGTATGTATGCATGCATGCATGCATGCATGCATGCACATATGTATGCATGTATGTATGCATGCATACACTCATGCACGCATATATATGTGTATTCATGTCTGTATGTAATGCATGCCTGTCTGTCTGTGTGCCTGTCTATATGTCTGTCTGTCTTTCTGTCTGTATGTATGTATGTAAGTAAGTAAGTGTGTGTGTATGTATGTATGTATGTATGTATGTATGTATGTATGTAATGCAATGTAATGCAATGCAATGCAATGCAATGTAATGTAATGTAATGTATTGTAATGTAATGTATTGGAATATAATGTAATGTAATGTAATGTAATGTAATGTAATGTAATGTATGTATGTATGTACGTATGTATGTATGTATGTATGTATGTATGTATGTATGTATGTCTGTATGTATGTATGTATGTATATGTTTATGTCTGTATGTATGCATGTGTGTGTATGCGTACGTGTGCGTGTATGTGTGTATATGTGCATGCCTATGTGCATGTGCATGTGCATGTGCATGTATATGTGTAGGTGTCTATGCATGTGCATGTGCATGTGTATGTGTATGTGTATGCATACGTTTATGTGTATGTGTATGTGTATGTATATGTGTATGTGTATGTGTGCGTGTGAACGTATGTTTGTGAATGTTTGTTTGTTTGGTTGTATACACGTATGTATGCATGTACATATACATATATGTGTATTTGTGTGTATGCATGCATGTATGTATGTTCATTAGAATGCGTATGTATGTATGTATGTATGCATGTATGTATGTATGTATGTAGGTAGGTAGGTAGGTAGGTAGGTAGGTATGTATGTATGTATGTATGCGTTTATATATAACTGTATATTTGTAGATGTATGTATGTGTGTATATATAGGTAGGGGGGCCCGGGGGCCTCACAGTGCACTGATTTGTCTTCTGGCCGTTTCGGGTCCAGTGGGGGGCGCCAAAAAACGTCAAAGGGGGCCGAGAGACGTCTAAGATGGCGCCAAGATGGCCCAAGAGCGCTCCAAGAGAGCCCAAGACCGCACAAGAGCGTTTCAACATTGGTCCAGCATGTCTTGCAGACAGCCCGAGAGGGCTTCAAGACGGCCAAGATGCCTTCAAAAGGACTCCTACGAGGCACTCAGGAGGCGAAAAGAAAAGGTTTTTCAATTGTTTTTGAAAGTTTTTCGTGTTCTCGCTTTTTCGTGCTTCCGACGATTCAAGATAGCCCACGAGGCCCCAGAAATCAGCTCAAGACGGCCCAAGAGGCACCCAAAGAGGGCGCCACGACGGCGCAAGAGAGTCCCAAGACGGCCCAAGAGTGCCCCAAGACGGCCCAAGAGGCGCCCAAGATTGCCCAAGAGGGCCCCAAGATGGCCCCAAGAGGGGCCCAAGAGGGAGAACACGAACCGACAATTCGAGCCTTCCGCCCCAAGAGGCCTCCAGGAGGCCCTAAGAGGCTCCCAACAGAGCCCAAGAGGCCCCCTAGAGGACCCCTAGAGGCTGTACGAGGCCCCAAATGAGCCCAAAAAGACGCCCCACGAGCAACCCAAACGGCTCCCAAGAGGCCTCCAAAACTGCCTTCAAGAGGCTCCCGGGAAGCCTCTCATGAATTCCGAACGAATTTCCAAGAGGCCTCTAATCCACAAGCCAGGAACGGTGGCGGGATGGGCCGAAGGCCATTATCGGGAACGCGAACCGAGAACCCGAGATCTTCGCCCCAGGAGGCCCCCAGGAGGGGTCAAGAGGTCACCAAGAAGCTTGGTGACAGATCACCGGTCGACCGGTCGATGAGAGCGGAGGAGGAGGAATGAGGAAGAGGCAGGAGGGAACAGAGAATGTTCACCTCATTCATGACCGCCTGGTTGTCTCAATGCGGTCAGCATTCGATCAGCTAGAACCTAAGTGCGCGCGAAGCGCGCGCGACGGTTCTAATACATGTGTATATGTATGAAAATGCGTGCATGTAGGTATATATGTCTGTCTGCATGTATGTGTGTGTGTGTGTGTGTCTGTCTGTCTGTCTGTCTGTCTGTCTGTCTGTCTGTCTGTCTGTCTGTCTGTCTGTCTGTCTGTGTGTCTGTCTGTCTGTCTGTCTGTCAGTCTGTCTGTGTGTCTGTCTGTCTGTGTGTCTGTGTGCGTGTCAGTCTGTCCGTTCGTCCGTCTGTCTGCCTGTCTGTATGTATGTATGTATGTATTCATCTGTGTATACATATATGTATATGTATATGTATATTTGCATGTCTATGTATATGTGTATATATGTATATATGTATATATATATATATGTCTATGTATGTGTATATGTACATGCATATGTTCATGCCTATGTATCTGTTCTTGTATATGTATATGTACATGTATATATGCACATGCGACTGCAGATGATATGCATCTGTATGTGTATATGTGTAGATGTATTTGTCTATGTGCATGTACATGCATATGTATATGTATATGATACCAGAGAAAAGCCCCAATCAAAGCCTTTTTAGGGCGATAGGGCTACGGGGCTATTTGGCTATAGGGCTATGGGGCTATGGGGCTACAGGGCTATGGCACCGTAGGTCTCTAGGGCTATAGGGCTATAGGACTACAGGGCTATAGGGCTATAGGGCTATAGGACTATAGGGCTATAAGGCTATAGGGCTACAAGGCACCCGGGCACCCGGGTACCTGGGCACCCGGGCACCCGGGCGGGCCGCGGAAATCGGCGGCAAAGCTCACCTAACCATAAGAATCCGCTAGGACCCCTACAGAGGCAAGCTCTGATTGGAGAATGTATGTATTTGTCCATGTGCATGTATATGTCTATGTCTATGTCTATGTCTATGTCTATGTCTATGTCTATGTCTTTGCCTATGCTATTGTCTATGTCTATGTCTATGTCTATGTATGTGTATGTAAACACATATAGATGTTTCTGTACACGCATACATACCTACATATGATACCGGAGAAAAGCCCCAATCATAATCTTTTTAGGGCTTTAGGGCTATGGGGCTATAAGGCAATAGGGCTAGAAGGCTATGGGGCTATAGGGCTACAGGGCTACAGGGCCATAGGGCTATAGGGCTATTGGGCTATAGGGTTATGGGGCTATAGGGCTATAGGGCTATAGGTCTATAAGGCTATAAGGGTATAGGGCTATTAGGGCTAGAGGGCTAGAGGGCTATAGGGCTATAGGGCTATGTAGGGCTACCGGGCACCTGGGCACCTGGCACCTGGGCACCCAGGCACCCGGGCACACGGGCACCCGGGCACCTGGGCACCCGGGCACCCGGGCACCCAGGCACCCGGGCACCCAGGCACCCAGGCACCCCCGGGCACCCGGGCACCCAGGCGTGCGGCGAAAATCGGCGGCAAATCTAACCTAACCATATGAATCCGCTAGGACCCCTACAGAGGCAAGCCCTGATTGGGGAACATGCATACATACATGCATGCATTCATGCACACAGAAGTACATACATAAGTACATACATACATGCATGCATGCATGCATACATACATACATACATACATACATACATACATACACACACATACGTACATACATACACACATACATACATACATACATACATACATACACATTTACATACATACATACATACATACATACATACATACATACATACATACATACATACATACATATACACACATACATACATACATACATACATACAAACATACATACACACATACGTACATGTATGCATGCATACATACATGCATGCCTATTCACATACATACATACATACATACATACATACACGCATTCAAACATACATACATACATCCATACATACACACATACATACATACATACATGCATACATACACACATACATACATACATACATACACATGTACATACACATGTACATACATACATACATACATACATACACACATACATACATACATACATGCATGCATGCATACATACATACATACACGCATACATACATACATACACCCATACACATATCCATACATACATACACACATATACACACATACCTACCTACATACACACATATATACATACTTACATACTTCAATACTTACATACTTACATGCGTACACATATACACATCCATCCATCCATCCATCCATCCATCCATCCATCCATCCATCCATTCATCCATACATACATACATACATACATACATACTTCAATACATACATACATACATACATACATACATACATACATACATATACACATACTTATTTACTTACTTACATATATATATATACATGTGTGTATCTATATACACATAAGTAGGGCCAGGAGGGGGGCGAACCGCTGCCTCAGTGCCGCATGGGGAGTCAAACGAGCCTGGACCCGCCAAAAGGGTCTTCAAGGGGCCCTGAGGGTACAAAATACCCCCAGCACGCCTACCGTTGCGTCGAGGCCCACGTGGCCCCCGAGACGTCGCAAGAGAGCTTCAAGCTGCTCTCCGAGAGAGGCCCAAGGGGCGAGACTCATTAATGGTCCCTGAGGTTTTTCACGGATTTTCGCGTGGTCGCCTGCTCCGCTGCCCGACGTCCGGAGTCGGCACAAGAGGCGTCCAGGAGGGCGCCAAGACGGCCTAAGAGGCGCCCAAGATCGCCCAAGAGGGCTCAAGGCGGCCCCCGAAATGAACTTGGACACGTCACAAGGGCCTTAAAGGAGGCCCAGAGGGCCCCCAAACGGCCCCTGCACGCCCGCCATTGCTTCGCGGCCCGCGAGGCATCCAAGACGCCCCAAGAGAGCTTCAAACTGCTCTCCGAGAGAGGCCCGAGGGGCGAAAATCATTGATATCCCTAAGATCTTTCAAGGATTTTTGGCGGGGTCGCCCGCTCCGCTTCCCGACGCGTCGAGACGG